ACCCGTCTTCTTCCAATCCCCACATCATACAAGAGTAGCCTTATCCATCTATCTCTCTCTCTCTTTCTCTCTCTCTCTTTGAGCCTTTGGCTCATTACTGTTCTCTAAGTTGACTAAAGCTATTGAAAAAAAAAAAGAATGCGAATGATCTCTATGAACTAGTGTGAAGCAATTTCCTAGAGATGTTGTTAAGTGACTTAAAGCACAGTGCAGCAGAGCATGCATAGTACACCACCTTTTGTGTAAAAAGGACCAGGAAGAAATCATACCTACACCTTTGAATCTTCACATAAAGAAACAAGAATGAAGAACTATGTCGCATGAAGTTGGTACCTGCAAGGGATTAGGAAAAGGCAGTGAAATAAATAAAACACAAAGTATAACACTTCCCTGAGAATTCCTGTATTTGTAATTTTAACACGAAAGCATATTAATATTTTACATTCTCAGAGAATAACCATAAACTTACAAAAGAATAAGAGAAGAAAGAACTAAAACTGAATGCAACTGCAACAAAGAATTCAAAGCTACTTCAAAAGAAATTAATAACCCAATCTTATTTTAAAAGAGGTGGCGTGGCAAGGAAAGCCTGAGCCTGCATAGCTGATGATCACAGTATCTGTCATCCCTGGCCTTGGGCAAGGTGTAGGGGAGGGATAGAGAACACCAGAGACATACCGAAATCTTTTTGATAGGTTGGTTTTTCAGGGTTATGGACAGAACAATTCTGTAATTATTTCACATGTATTGGAAAGATTGAACAAATGAGTAAATGTTCAACGTTGCTGGAAGCCAGAGTTTTCTGTGGAAAGGGGACAGTAATTTATAATGGAGAAGGTAAGAACTCAGTGAATTTGGATCCAAATTGGTAATATCAGTGTAGACTCAAGATTTCTAAAAAAAAAGATATATATGTACACACGTATATGCATGTATATGTATACACGTTTGTATCTATGTATGTATACACATGTTGCATATGTATATATATATCTATATGTCTCCATATATTTATTAAAGTAGCACTCATCACACCCGTGCCCAGATTTTAGTCCCTAATCCCATTCCCTACTGCAGGGAACCAGGAATCTCAGCTTCATTGCCATCAGTCTTCATGCAACTGTTCAAATTAACACTTTTTAATTAGTTTTTAAAGATGAATATTATTAATCTGTAAAGATCACCAATGGTCTCCAAATTTGTTTGTATGATGTATATGAATGCTCAAATTTTAATGTTTTTAAATCAGATCAAATTCCTAAAGTACTTTGGTAAATAACTTGCTAAAATCTGTAAAGAATGCTCTACTGTAATTCACAATAGGACTAAGCTGATCAGGCTCTATGGGATTTTAGGATAGCCAAAGTGTCAATATGTCAAAGGCAATACCACTCTGTCCATACCTATGGCATGAAAGAAACAATTATTTAGTAAATCATTAACTTTCAAACATATATTTTGCTTCAGCAAGCTTTTTCTAGATTAGGTAGAAGTTATAGAGGAAGATCTCTAGGCTGTAAGTTAAATCGAAGGTTTGCCATTAATACTTATTCTGCCCTCTCAGAATAACTGAGTGATGTTTTTTTTAATCCAACAAAGTTGATCATATAAAGAGATTCCAATTGTATACTTTTCGTTCATGCCTGTTTTGAATCCTATCTTGACCAACTTTTTGGCATCAGACTTAAGAGTTTCTTTGCCATCAACAGTGAACAGATTTAATTAATTAGTGAATTCTGAAGAGTGGCTTAACACACAGGAAAGAAAGTGCATGATCTTAACATGCTTTCTTAATAATGAGGTGGAATCACAGGTTTCTTCCTGGGAACCGCCAGTAGCCCTACCAACTCCCACTGACCAGCAAGTGACTCTCTCCGCTTCCTATTGATAAGGTCAATGGAGAAAGGAGTGGGCAAAGCTCAAGGAGAGAAAAACACTCTAATTAGCTAAACCTATACTCCACCTAGTTCAATTATAATCGGACCTAAGGTCTCACCCTAGTCAGCTTGCCAGACAGTATAAAAGTGTGGGTGTCGTGAAAACTCAAAACAGGAAAGAGGCCTGGATTTCATTCAAATCTATGGTTTATTATCCTGAAATAAAAAGCGAGGTTTAAAAAAAGTGAATACAAAAATAATAAACGAATTGATTAATATAAAATATTGGTATACATGGGGCTAAAACTCTTACCTTTGGTATAGATTCCAGAATTTTCTTCAGAACAAATCCTGCTTTAACCAACTAATGGATAGAATACAATTTATCAAACATATACAGTTGGTATTCCATGTCTGTGGGTGCCCCATTCATGGGTTTCACCAACTATGGATGAAAAATACTCTAGGACAAGGGAATAAAAATTAACAATACAATAATACAAAATAATACAAATTTTTTTAAAATACAGCATAACAACTACATAGCATTTACATTGTAGTCCATATTATACATAATCTAGATGGGATTTAAAATATGGCAAGATGTACATGGGTTATACGCAAATAAAATGTCATTTAATGCTCATACAAAGGACTTGAGCATCCATGGATTTTAGTCTCTAGAGGGGATGCCTGGAACCAACGTAGGTTAACAAGGCAAGACTATATAAAAAAAAATCACTGAAGTAAATTTCCCAATTTGTGAAAATCATTGCAGATGAAAAGAGGCAAGCAATGCATTGTTTTAGGCCAGTGGTTCTCAACCTGTGGGTCGCAACCCCTTTTTAACAATGAAAATACATTGCAGCATTAGGAAGGTGGAGAACCACTGTTTTAGGCCTTGTAATGTCAGTGAGAGAGTAGAGAAAATGAAAAACGAAATTAAAACACAACATGTTAGCCTTGAGAGGACACTACAGGGTCACCTGCTTGGGAGTTTGCAAAGCGGTTGCAGCTATTTGTCTTGCTTCGTTTGTTTGATTGGATTGTTTTAAACAGCACGCCCAGGTACCTCTTCATTCCTGGGGACTCAATCATAGCTTCAAAACCACCCCATTTCAGCCCCTAGTTTATTTCATGGGAACTACGAACCAGGTGCAACTGAAGTCCAGTATGAGACATAGGTGGTACTAACAATGAAATAAAAATAGTTTGTTGAACACATCCTGTGAACACTGCAAAGGCAAGGAGGGGGAAGGGAAGGGATCTCCCCCACATCTCTTCACTGAGCAGTTGGAGTGTTCGATCCTGACCAGAGCCCTGAGAGCAGGGGCCAAGCCTGGGAGAACCAGGCTGAGACACGCAGCCCACCCCAGGTACTAGAGAATTCCGGGGCCTCCAGAAGGGGAAGGAGGCCTGAAAGTCAGAGAGAGGCTGCCAGGCAAGAGTGAGTAAAGGAGCCCACAAGGTTCAGAATTGTCCACGCAGCAAGAGGCTGAGAGAGCACCTGTGATACTGTGGGAGGGTGGGGTCCCAGCGGAGGTGAGTTTACAGCCCAGTGAGGAGGAGTGCGCCAACACTAGAAAAGAATTCCCCAGAAGCTAATTCTTTAGTAGAATACTATTGAGATATTTCAGATTTAACATATAGGGAGATTTTGCTGGAAGGATGAGACAGTGAAATCTTCATAGGTTTTTTGCAAAACAAGTTTGTATATTACTAAGGTTTGAGCAATGCCTACCCCTATGCATCACAACTGCTTCAGAAAAACACTGAATTAAAATCCCTTGGATCCAAATGTTGGTCCTGATCCTGCGAACCATCAAAATCTAACTTGATGCTCTGACTTTGAAAGTGGCTGTCTGCATGTTAGATTAAAAAGTCACAAACTAGAAGGGTCATTAAAGCACTGGTCAGGCCTAGTGCCTCTTTTCCCAAAAGTTAAATATTTAAACCATTCAAATTGGGCATTTATTTACCTTAAGCCTAATACTTTCCCAGGTATATCAATGACCCATTGATTGTTCATGTCATACAACAAATTTTTGACTACCTGTTTGAAGTACCATATGGGATACAGAAGACGACTACCCAGGGCATCTCCTGCCAGTACTGGGGAAGGACGGAGTGCAGATAGAGGCACTGTTAGGTTCCAAAGTGAACCTAAAACTTTGTCAAAGATAAAGTTCCTGGGAAAATATCCATAAGGAAAGGAAAGAACATGTATTAGATGATATGGAAATGAAATAACTAAAAAAAAGCTGTCACTGCCTCCCCTCCTATGATCGTCTTAAAATTAACCCAGAAGGCATTAAGAGTTCAAGGAGCCATTGCTCACACCTGTAATCCTAGCACCCTGGGAAGCCCAGATGGGAGGATGATTTGAGGGCAAGAGTTGGAAACAAGCCTAAACAAGAGTCAGATGCTATCCCTACGAAAAATAGAAAAAATGAGCCAGACATGGTGACACGCTTGTCCTCCCAGCTTCTCCAGAGGCTGAGGCAGGAGGATCCTTTGAGTGTAGGAGTTGAAGGTTGCAGTCAGCTATTTAGCTCTGGCAACAGAGCGGGACTCCGTCTGGAAATAAAAAAAAGAGAGAGAGAGAAATAGAGTTAAGTAATTTTAAAAATCATAAATCAATGTGAAGCAAGTATAAGTTTACACAGTATTTATTATCCTAGTAGTGCTTCTTCAGTAAAAATCTTTGAAAAAATAACAATAAAAACCACTGTAAAATTCTTTAGAAAAAACAAATGGCATTTAATTTAAAAAGCTAGAAAATATATTTAACATGAAATATTGTTTATATCTTTATTATAGATGGAGGCCTTACAAATCCTAAAGATGAACCCTGAAATAGATAGCAGGACAAACATCATAAATAGATAGAGAAAAAGAGTTATGATTACTGATAGGAACATTTATAAAAGAATTTTCAAAAAGGACTTCATCCTCTTATAAAGTTCACAAATTGTATATAAAACCAGCACAGTATACCCCATTATTTCATTAATGTACACAGCTATGATATAACCAAAAAAATAAGAATAAATTGCTCAGTCATGGTTAAAAAAAAGAAAACTGGTTCAGTCCTCGAGGCGTCGGTGCTCCCCAGTGTTGGAATTTTGTTGCTAGTCGGCCGGTGAGCGCGTGCGTGGACATGGCCTCAACCGACTATACCCAACAAGCAACCCAAAGCTATGGAGCCTAGCCCACCCAGCCTGGGCAGGGCTACTCCCAACAGAGCAATCAGCCCTGTGGACAGCAGAGTTACAGTGGTTATGGCCAGTCAGATACTTCAGGCTATGGCCAGAGCAGCTATGGTTCTTCTTACGGACAGACCCACAACACAGGTTATAGCACTCATCAACTCCCCAGGGATATGGCTCAACTGGTGGCTATGGCAGTAGCCAGAGTTCCCAGTCATCTTAAGGGCAGCAGTCCTCCTATCCTGCAGCCGGCTCCTAGCAGCACCTCGGGAAGTTATGGTGGCAGTTCTCGGAGCAGCAGCTACGGACAGCCCCCAAGTTGGGGATACGGCCAACAGTCGGGCTATGGCAGACAGCAGCAGAACTACCGGCAACAGCAAAGCTATATCCCCCTCAGGGCTATGGACAACAGAACAAGTGCAACAGTAGCAGGGGACGTAGTGGAGGGGGTGGTGGAGGTAACTATGGCCAAGATCAGTCCTCCATGAGTGGTGGCAGTGTGGTTATGGCAGTCAGGACCGGAGTGGTGGTGGCGCTGGCTACAGGGGAGGCCAACAGGACCTCGGGGGACGCGGCAGGGGCCGTGGCGGTGGTTACCAACTGCAGCAGTGGTGGCTATGAACCCAGAGGTGGTGGAGGTGGCCGTGGAGGCAGAGGCAGCATGGGCGGAGTGACTGAGGTGGCTTCAATAAATTTAGTGGCCCTTGGGACCAAGGATTACGTCATGACTCCAACAAGATAACTCAGACAACAACACCATCTTTGTGCAAGGCCTGGGTGAGAATGTTACAATTGAGTCTGTGGCTGATTACTTCAAACAGATCGGTATTATTAAGACAAACAAGAAAACAGGACTGCCTATGATTAATTTGTACACAGACAGGGAAACTGGCAAGCTGAAAGGAGAGGCAACGGTTTTTTTTGATGACCCAACTTCTGCTAAGGCAGCTATTGACTGGTTTGATGGTAAAGAATTCTCCGGGAATCCTATCACGGACTCATTTGCAACTCGCCGAGCTGACTTCAACCGGGGTGGTGGCAACAGTTGGGGAGGCCGAGGGCGAGGAGGACCCATAGGCCGTGGAGGTTATGGAGGTGGTGGCAGTGGTGGCGGTGGCCAAGGAGGATTTTCCAGTGGAGGTGGTGGTGGTGGAGGACAGCAGTGAGCTGGGGACTGGAAGTGTCCTATCCTACATGTGAGAACATGAACTTCTCTTGGAGGAATGAATGCAACCAGCGTAAGGCTCGGAAACCAGATGCCCCAGGAGCTGGACCAGGAGCCTTTCATATGGGGGCTAACGATGGAGATGATCGTCGTGGTGGCAGAGGAGGCTATGATCAAGGCGGCTACTGGGGCCATGGTGGGGACCATGGGGGCTTCTGAGGGGGCTGGGGTCATGGGGACAGAGGCCGCTTTGGCCCTGGCAAGATGGACTCCAGGGGTGAGCACAGACAGGATCGTAGAGAGAGGCCATATTAGCCTGGCTCCTGAGATTCTGGAACAGCTTTTCCTCCTGTACCCAGTGTTAGCCTTGTTATTTTGAACCTTCAATTCCTCATCACCCATAGGTTTTTGTGTCAGACTATGTAATTGTAACTATACCTCTGGTTCCCATTAAAAACCATCGTTTAAAAAAACAAAGAAAAGAAAAGAAAACAAAACTGAGATGTAATACTTCATACATCAAAAAAAGAAATGTCAATATTTTATAATGATACAATTGAATATTTTTAAGGAAGCATTTTCTGTATATTGAGATAGTAGACAATTTCTGGGGGCTAATCAGACAATAGATATTAAAAGATCTTACAACTATTTATACTTTTTAACATAGTAACCATCTCAGGGAATTATGGTATGGAATAGTTACAGATTAACACAAAGATTATGAAAACGTTATGTGCTGTCCAATAACTTGGAAATCACATAAAGTAAAATGTAAATGGAAATAAGTGAGTTACAAGGAAATCCTAATTTTGTACATTCTATACATAATTGTATATATCATATACACATAGAAAACAGTGGGAAATATTTCAGAATGTTGAGTGGCCATCAGTGGGTCATGAAATTATCATTGTATTTCCAAAACTTTTATGAAGAACATGAATTTGTTTTACAAACATAAAAATAAAATATTTTAAAATAGAAACAAAGAAGAAAAATGGATTATCCAATATCATTAAGAAATCAAAGTTATAAAAACTAAAAAGCAAGAACTGATAAATTGATTTTCTAAAATACAAAGTTTAAAATGAAGGATTTTGGCAACTTTAATCCCAGAGACAGTAATTATTTTCAATACAATAGATTAAAAGTCTCTCATCATCATCATATTAACATTAGTGTAAAAGTTTATTCAAATAGCGTCTTTTATGATTTCCAGTCACTCACATCAACTTTGCTTAGTTATAATAAATGGGATATCTTGCTAAAATACGTGAGGTGATTGAGTTAATTAAATATGGTTTTAATGTTAGATTACATTAAAATATTGTTAATTTTGTAAGCCATAATGACATGATTTATACATAAAGCATTTTTTCAATTAGCAATGCATAAAGTATTTATAGGTAAAATGACACAAGGTTTAGAATTTGCCTAAATACTCCAGCCAAAAAAAGGGGGGAGTGCTAAATAAAACAAGATTGTCAAAATATCAATAATTCTTGCAGCTGAATGATAGATTCATGTGTATTTCTTATACTTTTTCTTTTGGGGCATGTTTTAGAATTTTTTTTCAATAAGGTTTTTTGAAATGGAATAGTTTTGGCAGTTACTTGACAAATAAATTTTACAGATAGAAAAACATTGGCTCAGCACCTGTAGCTCAAGCGGCTAAGGCTCCAGCCACATACACCTAAGGTGGCGGGTTCGAATCCAGCCCGGGGCCCACCAAACAACAATAATGGCTGCAACCAAAAAATAGCTGGGCATTGTGGCGGGCACCTGTGGTCCCAGCTACTTGGGAGGCTGAGGCAGGAGACTCGCTAGAGCCCAGGAGTTGGAGGTTGCTGTGAGCAGTGAAGCCATGGCACTCTACCCAGGGGCTCAGCTTGAGGCTCTGTCTCAAAAAAAAAAAAAAAAGAAAAGAAAAACATTGTCCTAAGGAAAGTTGACAGAATGACATATTCAAAAACAGAATTTTTTCAAACAAGTCAGTGTTCCCATTAGTTTTGGATAAGAAAAACCATTTTGTATAATTAGTGTCAATAGCAATCCACAAAAAAGTCCCTTCCAAAAAAATTGTGCCTACTGTGATAGTAACATATCCTATAACATGTTACTATTGTCACAGTTAGGGACAGAGATGGAAAAGACCATCAAGATGGGATGGAATAATACTTCTCTTGTGTTATTTTAATTTTTGTCCTGCTACTGATTTGAGATGCAATACAGAAATACCTTCTTATAAAGAAGAAACATCTTGTTCACAAAAATATCTCATCTCTCCCAAACTGATCTAAGTTTTCTGCTAACACACGGCAACCATTTATCAGTAAGTATTCTGTCTTTGCTCAGAGTGTTAAGCCAGCTGGTCTGTGTTCGCAGTAGACTTGCCATGCCCCATCTGCAGACAGGATGGGAATTGAAGACATCAGGCTTATTCTATCACAATCTCATGTTCCTCACTCAGCTCCACATTCCGGACTTTTGACCCTGCCTTCATCTTTCCCTGTATCTCCACAGGTCTTGTTTATAAGTTCTTCTCCTGATGTTTGTAGCTTAGATTTTCCCCCCAACAGACCTTGATTCATCATACTTCCAGTTATTCTCTACTGCCTAACCTTGGTTCTGGGGCCTCTTTGCTTCCCTTCCCCTTCCCCAGCTACCCCAGCCACAAACAGAGCTCGACATAGGTATCTTACACAGCACTGGGGTCTCATCACAGCTAGAAATGTGCCGGTCTCAAAATGTCCCTTCAATTTATAAAACAAATGCTTGTAAAATGTAACTTAGGGAATGTTTTTACCATCATTTTGGCCAGAAAGAAAGGATGTGGTTTTCATTTACAGTTGTGGGGACAATGGAACACCTTTAGAATACACTACATTTCAGAAGTATGCTTCCTCTCACACTCTAGACACCGGGCCTGATTCCTGGTAATAAGGAAAAGGAGTAAAACATTACACCTGAGGCTAAAACCAAGAGCTCCATTTGAGTCATAGCCACATTGAACTCAAACCAAAAAGTTTATTTTGTTTTTATTAAATCATAAAGAGGTAGATCATTTATACATTAATGCATTTATGGGGCACAGTGTGCCGATTTCATATATAATTTGGGATGCTTCCATCATACTGATTAATATATCCCTCACCTCCTTTACTTAATTATTGTGTTAAGACATTTTTTTTTTTTTGAGACAGAGTCTCACTATGTCATCCTTGGTAGAGTGCTATGGCATCACAGCTCACAGCAACTTCAAACTCTTGGGCTTAGGCAATTCTCTTGCCTCAGCCTCCCAGTAGCTGGGACTACAAGCGCTCGCCACAACGTCTGGCAATTTTTTGTTGCAGTTGTCATTATTGTTCAACTGGCCCAGGCAGGGTTTGAACCCTCCTGCCTCCGTGTATATGGCTAGTGCCGTAACCACCGAGCTACAGGCGCTGAGCCCAAAAAAGTTTATTATATGAAAAGGAAACCATTAATTTTAATTCCTTTTCTTCTCCCCACTTTACATTTAAACGTGTACTTTAAAACATCTTCTTGACAACTATTAACCTATTCCAAGAAACCCTTATGTATGACTATTAACTACTACTCTATTTAACTCAGCACAAATTTGCTAGGCATTGATAATGTTCAAAATATTGGAAATACAACTGTCCTGAGAATCATAGATAACAGTTATTAACTAGTCTGTGTTAAGCACGATTTTCACGTATTATTTATTTAATCCTCACAATGACACGCTGAGGCAGAGTTGCTATGATTTTCACCCCTAAGCTAAAAATTCCCTTCAAACTTTAAAAATCTTATGGATACAAGTTTGGATATATTCTAAAATATTGTAAAAATCAGTTATAGTTTTTAAGCTGACAAATGACATATGAAATACAGATAGGAAAATAGGTAATCCCAGGAGCAAAGATGCAAAAGATTAACTCCTACTTGTTAAGAATTTGAATTTATGAGTAGTCCTTGCCACTTATATTCTACTATAGATGTTTCATTTGTTAGCATTTTTTCCAGAAGTTGAGGAAGTATGAGGATAGAGAAGAAAGGAGAGAATAATGGAATTCGAAGTTTTTCAGCTGCTAGATGCTCTGTTGAAAAGTTTGCTAAAGTATGCTATGATTAGAAATGCTGGTTTAACCAAGATTTTGAATGCACCATGATCTCTGAAATCCAGATTTACATACCAAAGTTGGTAATACATGAACTAGAAAGCACCAAGACTTTCTGAGCACTTACAAAGGTGAAGAGTTTTCTGTACAATATCTCATTTAATAGTCATAACTATGTGACACAGTAGGTATTCATATTACCATTTTATACATAAGGAAACCAAGATTCACATAAAGAAATGTGTTCAAGATACCAAAGCTTTAATTACTTTTAGCAAGTAACCAGCAGCTCTTGAGTTGTTTTCTCACAGGAGTGCTTGTGTATATTAATTTGCCCATAATCTTTTACTAAGTCCCTATAGTGACGAATGGTCCATTTCAGGGGGTTAGAGACACAGGCTAACACCTTCACATGCAGACTGAAGCATAGGCCCTGAAACCACATTTCTCATGTAAAGATCAAACTCATGTTTATTAGCATTGAACACTATCAGTTGATAATTAATCAATTGCCTCCGGTAATATTAGTTTTGTTGAAACTTGATCTGAATGATTTTTACAGTCATACATTAAATGAAACTTTATGAAAGATTATTAGAAATTTTATGATTATTTTTGTTTTAAATAATGAACCACAAAGTAGCCTTTAATTTTCTTGGAATAATAAGCAAAATTTTTTGAAGAAACAAAATATTTTTCTTATTTTTCTTGTCGGCCTTTCATAATATTTAATGAGCTAGGAGCTACATATATATGTATATATATATATTGTGTATATAAATATATATGTGCAATATACATATATGTTTTCCTGTTGCTTGGTGTATATATCACCAACCATGATATATTTATCACCATGCCTCCAAAATGTACAGGGAAAGACTTTTTTTTGTTTTCTGAGGCAGAATCTCCCTCTGTTGTTACAAGCTAGAGTTCTATGGCCTTGGCTTAGCTCACAGCAACCTCAAACTCCTAGACTCAAGTGATCCTCCTATCTCAGCCTCCCAGGTAGCTGAGACTACAGGCACCTGCACCTGCCACAACACCTGGCTAAGTTTTCAATTTTTTTAAATTTTTTTTTAGTAGGCAGGATCTCTTTCTTATTCAGGCTGGTCTCAAACTCCTGAGCTCCTGGGCTCCCCCTGCCTCAGTTTCCCAGAGTGCTAGGATTACAGGTATGAGCCACTTCAGCCAGCCAGGGAAAGACTTTTAAAACTAGAAAGTAGGAAGG